TTCCCTCTCTCTCCTCCATAAAATCCATAGGGAGTCTCAAAGTGAATCTGAAAATGAGGACATTTCCATATAGCTCATTTCACATAGAGAAATCCAACTCATTAACTCATACTAGTCAAGACTTTGCCAAAACATACAGTGCAATTGAGATAATCAGAGGCAAGTTTCATATTGCAGTTTTGTCCCATATTAAATGTATTGTGAAAGCAACTGGAAACTAGTTCACATTCACTTATGGGAACTACTATTGTACAAATCTCACTTCACAAAAAACCCCTACTCTTTTTCCAGCAGACGACAGAAAGGAAGCCAGTCTTGAAGGCAGAACATGAAATCTTGGTTCCATTGTATTAGATGGCCAGATTTTAATTGAATTCAACAGAGCCAAGATTTCCCCCATAAAGATTTACCAAAAGCAAGCAGGGGAATGTCTACATTGCAGAGCAGAAATCCAGGTAATGGAGACTTCAGACTCCCACTTTGTACCCTCTAGCCAAGAACCACAGTAACACATGACATGAGAATATTGCCTTGGCTGGCTTCATAACAATCAGTTTTGCAATTCAAAAGATGCACAGTTTTACTGAAGTTTCTACAGGTAATCTTCCTAACATAAGGAAGGAGGAACCAAACATAACAGAGATGAAGTACTTCTTTCATCTTTACAGACAGTCTCTTGAGAACTATCACTGCCACCTCCGGTGATTACAAAGCTACATCAATTTTATTTTCCTTTCTAACCTATTATTGACCCATTTTTTCTACCATTAGCACTATCCTGATCATCCTGCTTTGTGTTGCTGTAAAGGTACCTCTTCAAGTGAGAAGGCTGAGTCAGTGTGAACTGAGGGGAAAAAAACAAGCAAAAATCTGACATTTTCCATCAGAATGGACACAAGCAGCCAGAGATGAGGAGGAAAAAAAAAAAAAAAAAAAAAAGAAGATAAACAACAACTGAATTAATCCAGAACAATGCAGTCATTGAGAGAATTCGATCAGCACTGCTTCTAGCACCAAAATCGTGGTTGGAATTCCCACAGTACTTCTAGAAAGTAATTTCCATGGAAGACACCAAAGTTATTTCTTTCTTAATCCTTGCCCCAGTTCCTAGCCCAGCACTCCATGAATGCTAATTGGGATGCATGAAAATTCAATAAGTAATGCAATTTTCCTGGGTTTTGTTTTTGTAACTGCTTGAATTCTAAAAAAGCATCTACTTTTTTTCTCCATTAACTGACACAATGCTGTAGCACTGATGCAGCATCAGTGTCTGAGATCCAGAGCTTAAAGCTACCTGTGAGTAATGATAAGCCAAAACTCCTATTTATCAGTGCAGTGAAAGACTGTGTTACAATTACTTGGCCTGAGTGTACAAGAAGAGTGGAAAAAAAACAATTACTACTTCTTACAGTCAATTACCTATTTTACCAGAATGTTATCTTACTATATTTCTTACTTACTTATTGTTATTTACATTGCTTCTCATGTATCCCTTGTAAATTTAAATGACTTAAATGATCTTATATGATTATGTAAGTTCTGCAATATACACAAGATTACATGGGAACACAACACATAAACTAAGAGACAGAAAAATCTGAAAATTTTATTTAGCATACTCACTTGAATAAAGGAGTCCCACAAACAACACATTTGTATATTCCTTGAGCTTTATGATGTGTGTACTCCCCCTCAAAGGCACTGGGAAAACAACAACACTACATTTTAAAAATGAATAATGGAATTTGGGTTTGTAAACATTTTTAATTAGCTAAGAGTTTAGAAAAAAGTTACAGGAAAAAAAAACCCACCCCATAATTTAAAAGCTGGCATTTGTTTTTTATTAAAGGCAGCAAATAAAGCAGGCACAGGAAAATGGGAATGTTAGTGTGCCTCAGGTGTTATATTCAGTGCAAGCGGAAGCAAGTCATCCCACAGTTCAAAGGATAGAACAACACCAACAACAAAAAGGGAAAAACTGGAATCTTCCCCAATTTGGCCACTGAATTTTTTTATGAAGACGGACTGCGTGACACGCAGCCCAACGCGCGGCGCTTCCCAAGGCCTGCCATGAGGGGCCCCTCCGCTGGGTCAGGCTGCCATGGGCTGCCAGGGCCACAGAGGCACTGCAGCTGAAAATGAAATAATTGGTCCACGATTTCAAGCTGTGTGCGCCTTATATTTTTAGTTGAAAAGCAATATTACAGCTTTAAGGGAATATTTTTCTAAGTTAACAATCTGAAAGGCTAGGAGGTCATTCGTCTAATACGAATCAGCTGCACTAGCCCAACAAAAAGCCTATGTGCTCGGCAGCTTGTTTTTATTATCCTTTCACCCTTTTTATGAGGTCCAATTTTTTTTTTTTTATAAACAGGATTTTTAAGAATGACCTAATCTCCGATTGTTTGTGTGCATTAAATCACGTTGTTGGTCCCGTACACAGGAACGAGGGCTGGGGGGGAAGGCAGGTCTCCCAGCAGAGGCCAATGTCCCCCTGCCCCCCCGGGACAGCGGGGCGACCAGGAGGGCTGGGGCAAAGAGGGGGGACCGTCCTCCCTCAGCACATCCAGCCAGCAGTGCTGCTGTCGGGAGCAGCGCTGCCAGCTCACCCGGGACCCCACGTACAGTGGAGAGCCCTTTCAGGTCACGGCTGAAAACAAGCAGTGACATCATTAGTATGTTTGGAGCAGAGGTAAAGCCAGGGCCTTACGCCAAGCTCAGTGGTATAAATGGGACAACAAAAAAAATGGCTAGGCCTTGGCAAGTTACCTTCATGCTGGAATCAGCTGTGGGAGAGACTTTACTCACTAAAAAACATCTTGGAAGTGAGTCCTTCTCTTTTTTTTCCCTCCAGGATTCGGGGCTGGCTTCCAGTGACTAAAGCCATGTGAGGGCAGTTATTGAAAATTTTTGACATTCCAACCACAAATGAGCCAATAAATACCTTCTCCACATGTGCTTCAAAAAGAAATTGGAGCGGGGTGGAAAAGAACTAAATTATGCTACCTTCTTTCTGCAGCCAAAACGTCTATACTTACAATGGCCACCTTCAAAACTCCAGCCTCCTGGCACGGGGCCATTTCCCTCCGATGTCTTCCAAAAAAAGTGTACCTAAACTGCTATTACTTCCACACATTTTGTAGTAAACTAAAAACAGACTCTAAACATGAGCCCACTGACTTTATAAGACATGCAGTGTTCATTAAAAGAAAAACTCACACAAGACCCCTGGCCTCAGCCCCTGTGCTGCAGATGCTTGTCTTTGCAGTGGTGTTAATTTGTAGGGGTTAGTAAACAAGTGCAGAAATTCTGAGGAAAAAACCAAACCAAAACAAAACTTGGTGTGGAAGGTGAGGAAACATCAGTAAGAGGAGGGGGAGAAAAGAAAGATGCCTGTGTTTCGAGGACTGCGTTTCCTTCGTCCTGCCTTACCTTTCAGTTCCTTTCTCCTGAGTGACATGGTACTGCAAGGGTGTCAGCCGCTTCCTCAGCTCCTCCTGGGAAAAGACCACCTTACAGTCCTTTTTATCCCTACATGACCCTGAAAAGGGAGAGGATATGGGAGAAGGAGCCTTTTTAGCTTAAATCCTGAATAATTGCTTTGGCAGACGGCCACAGCATAGCTTCTGCATTCACTTGTCAATGACCAGACTGGTCCCTAATGCACGAAGAATGGCTCAGCTGAACTGCAGCTGATTGTTTCTTCAAATCCAAGTTTAAATAAGAATTTTGCTTGAGAGCCAGGTGGTTCCACTGGAGCAGTGACAATGTGCTACAGCCAAAGCCCTCTGGTGTGTTATACAATTACTGTTGTGCACACAACCATTCACAAGAAAGTAACAGTTTCTTAACCTTAAAAAAAAAAAAATCTGCAAAAAGAAAAAACAAACAAACCAAAACCTTCAGCTGAAATGTTCTTTACAAGACATCTATACTGGTGACTCATGGTAATGGGCATATGATGTTCAGCCACAACATCCAACAATTTCATTACCCTTTAAAGTAGCTGAAAAACAATTTTAAATCTTTAGAATTTCATTGATTAAACTTCTAGCTGCATCCTCCTCCTTTACTTTATAACATTAATAATTTCACTTTTTCACTGTTGAAGCACCAAAAGTGCAAGTAATTTCTTCATTGTAGAAGGGTCAACAATTAACTTGTAAAAATCAGGGTTGTTATTGAAATTATCCTCCTTTGAAAATATTATGTTTTCCTTAGTTCACACTGAAAATCCAAGGAGTATATAAGGATTACTGAAAAAAAAATAAAAAAATTACACTGTGCAGAAATTGACATCACATCAGGAAAGAAAAAATAACAAGGTTGCTTTTGAGAATGAAAACTCCCAAAGTAGTAACAGAAATTGTCAAATATTCAAATAACTTTGAAAATTGTTTACAAAAATTAGCTGACAAAATATGGCACGGAAAGAGCACTCTAATTATGACAGTAATTAAAATATGGTACAATTAGAAATAAACAGTCCTGACAAAAATATTTTTTGCTAGTAATGTATATACACTCATAAAAAGACCAATTGTGTTCCCAAAGTAGAGGGAAAAGAGCTACCCATCTGTATGTCATTTAGTACAGGAGAGGCAATGGCAGGTTTAAATTACATGGTATTGGATTGCAATTTCCTAACACTGGATGCTTTTCTGCTTTTCTACCTTGAGTCATTACTAAGGAGTGTTCATAAAAAGTAGCTTAAAGCACAGATGCTTGCAAATAATTTAAGAAAAGATGTTTCTTTCTTCCTCCCCCCTCTTCTTTTCTCATTTTTTTAATGTGTGGGGGTGGGTGAATAGGGGAGAGAGAAAAAGAATAATGCTGTTGGTCACTACCGACTAACCCTAGGAAATATTTTCAGGAAGAAAAAAGTAAAATTGAAAACATCTGATTGAAGTAAATAGTGCAAACATAAAAAGCTTTACTAGTGAAAGAAAGGTATTGAAAAGCGACTTTATTTCATAGATTAGAAATTACTTTTGATCTAAACATTCTTAAAAACAGATTGTTTTCCACTCTGAGCCATCTCATTAGCTGTGCTGCAGAGCCTTCGTTTTAATGGCAAGCCTTGAAAGAGCACTGCTGTATGCCTTTGTTAGCTTCAATCTTATTTGGGAGAGGGATAAAGATTTCATTCCAGGTCTCTTTGTTTGTCTTTCAAGAACCACTAAAGCAGTATTCACACAAATTTTGCAGGAATGTGCCCTGTGCCATAGCTTACAAATTATTTGGTTTTGGTGCACTTAAAGGTCACCTTCCAAATTAGCAAAATTTTCCTACATCCTGGCTTTTCAACCTTAAATGTAAATATTGTTTCCTAACTGTAAGTGAGGTTTGTTCTTTATAACATTTGGTTGCTTATTTAAAGATGTCAAACTTCGGAGGTTTTTTTATTCTCTGAATGTGCAGGGCTCTAGGACTAATAAGTCTTTCAAAGTGTAGCTAACAGGGAAGGAAGCAAATGCATGATATAAATAGCAATTGTTATGTTGCATTATGCAGCTCAGAAAAAAAACACAACTGTTTGAGAAATGGTTTTTCATCTAAAATTTCAGTATTAAAAAGTAGTCTAGAGAGCAGTGAAGACTCTTACAAACTAACAGCTCATCACTTAAAAAAATACCTTCCAATTTTCATATTTTAAATTCTATTTGCTGTTTACATGTTGCAAAAAAGCAGGCTAAGTTTAAGTTCACTTTGGAAAAAGTCAGAGAAAATACTGAATATTTTAAAGAATGCTCAATATTCTCTCTTTACTGTTGTTGAAGAATTATTTTAAAAGTCTAATGTTCTTCAAACAATGGGCTCACTATGTACAGAAGTAAATTTCTACGTATCACTTGACCCACAACATAGACTGCAAGTAGGAAACATTTTATAAAAGATTTTTTTCCCTGTTGTTTTCACAAATGTGTTTTACAACACAGACAAGTATTTATGTCTACAGTGGAATTCTGCCAAACTACACTGGGATAAACTGCAACCTACCCCAACAAAGGAGTGTACAACAGCAAAAAAGCTGTACTTGCACTACAAATCTTAAAGGAAATCTCTTGGTCCAGCTCTCAGCATTCAAGAACAGCACTATTCAATTAATTGCACTTATTACTTAGCTGCTAGCAACAACAACAACAAAAAAGCTCAGTAAATTGACTGCATTATTTCCATAGAATTAGAATCATAGAACTATTCAGGTTGGAAAAGACCCTTGGAATCACTGAGTCCAATCATCATCCCTACTCTACAAAGTTCTCCCCTAAACCACATCCACCAAACACATGCAGAGATGGTGATTCAACCACCTCCCTGGGCAGCCTATTCCAGTGTCTAAACTCTCTTTCTGTGATTTTTTTTTCCTAATGACCAGTCTAAACCCCCCCTGCTACAGCTTGAAGCCATTCCCTCTTGTTCTGTCGCTAATTACCTGTGAGAAGAGACCAGCACCAACCTCTCTACAATGATCTTTCAGGTAGTTGTAGAGACTAACGAGGTCTCCCCTCAGCCTCTTCTTTCTCAAACTAAATATTCCCAGCTCCCTCAAGCGTTCTTCATAAGATTTATTCTCTAGGCCCTTCATCAGCTTCTTTGCCCTCCTCTGTACTCGCTCCAGCACCTCGGTATCTCTCTTGAATTGAGGTGCCCAAAACTGGACACAACACTCCAGGTATGGCTTCACCAGTGCTGAGTACAGGGGGACAATCACCTCCCTACTTCTGCTGGTCACACTATTTATAACACAGGCCACGATGCCATGGGCTTTCTTGGCCACCTGGGCACACTGCTGGCTCATATTCAGCTGCTTGTCAATTAGAACCGCCAGCTCCTTTTCTGCCAGACACTTTCCAGCCACACTTCCCCAAACCTGTATCATTGCCGGGGGTTGTTGTGGCCCAAGTGCAGGACCCAGCACTTGGCCTTGTTGAAGCCAATGTTGCCAAAAAGCCAAGGAGGTAAAGCAACACTAACCCCTGACAGCTGAGAATGCCAGGATGAGTTATCTAAAAGAGGGCTAGCCTACAACCCTCAGTAAAATGCAATGAATCCTAAAAATTACTGGATGAGACTCCAGGAAAGAGGTCTTTTGGTTAGGAAAAAAAAAACACATGCAAGAGGGACAGAAGTCCTTAACTCACAGTACAAGAGTGGCTCCCTCCAGTTTTTCAACTATTCCTTTACAACATGCATGAGGTGTCTGCTACATCCAAGCCAACTGTGTATCTTGGGAGGGGACAAGATAAAGCTACATAAATACATGCTCAGTATGAGAGAAACTGCCACTAGTAATGCAGCTGTTCTCAAACTTATTATTAAAGCAGAGAATAAAGATGCAGGCTGACCATCTTCCTCAGTCCAGTTCCCCAAAGAACCATGGGCCAGGTATGGGCTGTGGAAAGGGTTCCTGAACAGACAACAAACTTCTTCAGCAACTTGGGCATAAGAGCAGGCTCACAGTTCATTTGCAAATTACACAGTTCAAGGCAGAAGAGAAAAGAGGTCATCAGTTTTACAAATAGCATGACATCACTGTGATTACATTAAAGGTGAGACTAAATTAAATACACTGTAAGGATAGCAGAGTCTGGATTTATTAGATCTGTATTAAGATTCTGGATTGGATCTTACTTGTTCTTTGGAGGTGAAGCTACCAGCAATGACTTTTAGAAGAGCCAGGGACAGCTATGATCCTAAGTCCAGTTAGATTCCACTGTTGGAAGAGGTGAATGAGTGCAGACAAAATTGCCTTCACATTCCACTGCAGGATTGGAAGCCAAATTAAATCTCTCTAATCAGCACACCTCGGTCCCTTCGTTGGGGTCAGGGCTCACTAGAAGAGCAGTGTGCAGGCAACTGTTCCACAAGCAGGCACCAGCCTTTCTACTTGAGGCCACCTGCTTTCAGCCAACTTTTGCCAACAGTTAGAGCAGTCCTTAAAAGCTCCTAAGAACCTTGAAACAGGATGTGAAGAAAAGGCCAGGCTCACAAATCTTGATACATAAGCATTAAAAAAAAAAAAGGAAAAAAAAAGGAAAAAAAAGAAAAAGCTGAGGAGGGTGAAACAAACATACACAGAAACCCTCCTGGAGCCTCTCACAGCACTCCTGTGCTTAGGAATGGCTTTTCTGAAAATCAGTTCAATGCACGCTGCTGTTTACTATTCATCTGCAGACTATGAATGAAGTGAACAGAAGTATTTTCTGGGTGTTGACCTGATAATGGAGACATCAAGCATCTCACCTCACATATAAATTCCAATTTCAATTGACCTTTTCAAATCTGAGGTTTATAATGCAGGCGTGTGCAATTTCCTTCCATATAAGCAATCACAAGAAAACTAGCAACGAGGTATGTCTCAGAAGTTAGCAGATCATTACTTTTCATCACTCAGCTCTTCACCTACTTCAGTGTGCCAGGTGTGGCAACCAGTGTCTGACATGCCCTGAAATATGGTTAGTGTATTGCCTGATGGCTTGCCTTCTTCAGATAATGTTTTGAACCATTCTTAGGAATTTCTCTTCTATTTTGTTGCTT